CTCCTGTGTTCCCAGATGTCGCCACTGTACTGACCTGGTATTTATTGCCTGCTGTTTTTTTGTACTTTCACTACATATGTGTCTTCCTATATAACATGTAGTGGTTTTTCATATTTAACCCCCAAATTAAAAAGGTTGTTCTTACATTTTTTCTTTCCCAACATGTTCTTTTTATTCAACCTTTTGTTATGAGAATCATTTATGTTGCCATGCATGGCCCTAGGATGTGTGTTTTGACGACAGTATAGTGTTCCATGCCTACTGCAAGTCCATAGTTTGTAGTTCCAAACTACAGACTACAGTTTATCCATTATCTTGTAGTTGGACACTTAAGTTGTTTCCACTTTTCAGTGGTTACAAACAGTTCTTCTAGGTATCTCCTTATATGTGTGTTTCCGTTTGGTGATACCTAGAAGTAAAAGTTAGAATGTGGTGGGTTATAATGTGTCTAGCTAGACTCTTCTTGTGAAACACCTTATTCTAGACTTCCATAATGCCACACTTGTCTGATTTTTCATCTTACTTCTTAGGCCAGGCATTCTCAGTCTCATTTTTTCTGGGTCCTCATTCTCTACTACACTATATTATAGTGTCCTCGGGCTTTGTCTTTGGCTCTCCTCTCTATCTTCCCAGCTTCCGTCTATTCTAATTTATCCGTCAGGCTGACCCCAGGATAGTCTTTATCAAATGCAATCCAGTCATGTAGCTGCTTTGCTTAACGTCCTTCAGAGTTCCCCTGCTGCCTCTAAAAGTCCAAGTTCTTTATTATGGACAAGATCATTAATGATTAGCTCCCTTTGTATATACCAGCTCCTACCTCTTTTTCAAAGGATCATTTAGACCGTTTCTCCAGCAGGGTGGGCCTTTGCTCACACTGTTTCTTCTGTTCACAATTTTCTTTCACCTCGCTCCTTATCTGCCTCGTAAACTTTTGTTTATTCTAAAAGATGACTCAGATGTCCCCTTTTCAGGAAAACTTTTCCTGACACACTCAGGCAGAAGTAAGAAATTCCTTCTTTGTGAACTCCTAGCATTTTCTTCCTTATCTCCATGATAATACTTGATTCATTTGTCCAACAAATATTTATTGATTGCCTGCTATATGCTAGAAACTGTTCTAGAAATCGGGGCTAGAACAGTAAACAAGACAGACAAGGTCTTTATTTTCAAGATGTCTACATTCCAGAGGTTAGGAAAGAGAAAAAATAGGTAAATGAACATTATTTTAGATAATAATAAGTGGTACTAATAAAATAAAACCAGACAATGGTGGTGATATGATGGAGATTGTGTGTCGAGGAGTTGGGCTGGGGAGATGGGCGTGGCACTTCAGACTGAGTGAGATGCTGTTTGGTGTTGTTTGAGTTGAGATCTGAAGGATAAGAAGGAGCCAGCCATGTAGAGATCGGAAAGCAGAACATTCCGGGCAGAAGGAACAGCAGGTACAAGGGCTCTAGAGCTAGATGTGCTTGGCATGCATAGGGAACAGAATGAAGGGCAGGGAGGCAGGGACATAATGATGAGGGAGGAGGGGTGCTGTGTGAAGTAAAAGCTGAGAGGTAGATAGGACCAGGTCAGACATAGGTATATTAAAGGTAAATATCTTATGGGTAAGATTTGTTGATTTTATTTCAAGTGTAGTTGGAGGCCAGTGGAAGATTTTAAGTGAGAGAGTGACATGAATCTGATTCATGTCAGAATTATCTCTTTGGCTGATTTGAGGAGAATTGTAGGGGAATGAGAGTGAGAGCAGAGCCCGGCTAGGAGTTGTTGCCTACAACAAATGAAAAACTTGGTAGCTTGGATTACTGTGGTATTTATTTGAGTGTCCATGGAAAGAAATGGAATGATTCAGGATATATTTAGGAGGTAGGCTGACAAGACTTGCTGATGCACTGGATGTGCTGGCTTTAAGGAGGGATGGAATCAAGAAAAGAACCCCTCTGCTTTTCTTGAGTAACTGGGTAGAGGTTAGTGTCATTTACTGACATGTGGATGAATAATGGTAGCAGTGATGAGACAGTTCAGGGTGGAGGAGACCAAAATTTATGTTTTCGACATTTTAAGTTGGATATGCTTCTTCAGACTGCAATGTGTGAATAGCAAGGAAGCAGTTGACCTTTAGTTGGCTCTGAAGGTCAGGGATTGTCTTAGTCTGGTGGGGCTGCTGTAAAATTACATAGCCTAGAAGACTTAAATAACAAACATTTATTTTTCATGGTTTTAGAGGGTGGAAGAGATCAAGAAGCTAGCGTGGTTGGGTTCTGGTGCAGTCCTCTTCCAGATTGCAGATGGCTGATTTCTCCCTGTATCCTTATGCGACTGAAAGAGGGTGAGGGAGCTCTCTGGCCTCTTCTTACAAGGGATCTAATTAGGCTCTACCCTCATGACTTCTTTATCGCCCAAAGTCCCCAACTCCAAATACCATCCCATTGGGATTAGATTTCAAAATAGGAATTTTGGGGGGACATAGCAGAGACAGAGATGGAGATAGATAATTTTGGCAGTCACCAACTTATTGACTGTATTTTTAAGCTATGAGACTGGGCAATATAACCTGGAGTTTACATGTAGATGGAGTGAAAAGAGGACCAAGGGTAGTGCATTGGATGCTGCAGCATTTAGAGAATGAGAGGTAGGGAGGTAAGAGGGAGTCCTAGAAGACAATAGAGTGGAGGGGGGATATCAGTTGTATCAAGTTGCTAGAGTTGGCGTACAATGAAGGCACAGGCATGACCACTGGATTTGACTCCCTGGAGGTTACTGTGACCATGGTAAGAGCACCTCTAGGGCATTCCAGTAGCCAAAACATGGAACTTAGCTCATTACTGTAACTGCTTACATATCTGTCTCCTCTTCTAGACCATATGCTAGCCTGGTCTATTTCTAGGGCTTAGCATATGGTAGATGGTGAATTAATGTTTGCTTATAGGTTTGAATTTTATAGTGCAGTTTAAAGAATAATATGCTGTTTTACCCTCATTTAGAATGCTTTTAGACCACTGACCCTGCCCACCAGTTTGTATCAGCTTATGAATACAGATTATAAATAATAAATTTAAACACGAGGGGAGAGGCAAATCCATTTTAGTGGAGGCTCATGGTACATCCTGAACCCATCTTGCTGTAGTGAAAAAAGGCCTTGCTTTGGATTCAGAAGACCTGCCTCACACTCTGGTCCCTCTGCTAGGCCTGCTGAAGGTTTTGGGGCAGGTTCCCCACACTCTCTGGATTGCAGTTCCTCAGCTGTCATAAGTAGGTAACAGTGCAGTTAAGAAATTCCTCTTACAGAATCTTTGTGAGCAGCAAATAAGCTAATGTACATGAGAGTTCTTTGTAAGTAGAAAAGATACTCTGTAAGTGCTATTTTTGTAAAAGTAATTGGATTATCCATTTCATTACTGATTTATAAAGATTAGATCAGAGTGTCATAAAACTCATGTTTAGGCAGTGGCATGTGAATGGAAACAAGTTGGGGAAGGACATAGATCACTAGAAAATGTGGTACTTTTCCAGAAAAATATAGGAAATTAATTTCTCTTGGCTTTGTTCCCTTATCTTCTCCAGATAAATTTAATCATTCTGTTAGCATCAAAGAGCAGACTCTTCTACTTCAAGATCTAATAATCATATCTAGCTAGTGGCCTGTTTACCCCAGTGTTGCATATCTCTGAAAGAATAAAATGATAAATCTCAGCAGTGTTCTCTTGGGCAAGCTACCCAAGCAATAGAAATAAAAGCAAAAATAAACAAATGGGACCTAATTAAACATAAGCTTTTGCACAGCAAAGGAAACCATAAGCAAAACAAAAAGACAAACCTATGGAATGGGAGAAAATATTTGCAAAAGATGAGACTGACAAGGGCTTAACCTCCAGAATATATAAACAGCTCATACAACTTAATAAGAAAAAACAAACAAACAACCCAATCCAAAAATGGACAGAAGACCTAAACAAGCAATTCTCCAGTGAAGACATATGAATGGCCAATAAGCACATGAAAAAATGTTCAATATCACTAATTATCAGAGAAATGTAAATCAAAACTACAATGAGGTATCACCTCACGCTAGTCAGAATGGCCATCATTAAAAAGTCCACAAATGATAAATGTTAGAGAGGGTGTGGAGAAAAGGGAACCCTCCTACACTGCTGGTGGGAATGTAGTTTGGTGCAGCCATTATGGAAAATAGTATGGAGAGTCCTCAAAAACCTAAAAATAGACTTACCATATGATCTAGCAATCCCACTCCTGGGCATATATCCAGAGGGAAGCTTAATTCAAAAAGACACCTGCACCCCAATGTTCATAGCTGCACTATTTATGATAGCCAAGACATCGAAATAACCTAAATGTCCATTGACAGATGACTGGATAAAGAAGTTGTGGTATATTTACACAATGGAATACTACTCAGCCATAAAAAAGAATAAAATAATGCCATTTGCAGCAATATAGATGGACCTGGAGATAGTCATTCTAAGTGAAGTAAGCCAGAAAGAGAAAGAAAAAGTACCATATGATATCACTTATATGTGGAATCTAAAAAAAAAAAAGAAAAAGACAAATGAACTTATTTACAAAACAGAAACAGACTCACAGACTTAGAAAACAAACTTATGGTTACCAGGCAGGAAGAGGGTGGGAAGGGATAAATTGGGAGTTCAAGATTTGCAGATACTTACTAATGTATATATATAAAACAGATAAGCAAGAAGTTTATACTGTATAGCACAGGGAACCATATTCATATCTTGTAGTAACTTATGGTGAAAAATAATATGAAAATGAATATATGTATGCTCCTATATGACTGAAGTATTGTGCTGTACACCAGAAATTGACACATTGTAAACTGACTATACTTCAATAAAAGTATATTTAAAAAAAAAAAAGAATAAAATGGTTTTTTCTTCTTTTTTTTTTTTTTAGTGAATACATTAACTTGATTTGACAAATTTTCCTCACAGTGATTACTCATTTCATTTTACTTCTAGGGTAAAAATCATGGTAAGAAACTCCGAAATTACTATGCAGCGAACAGCTGTCCTCCTCCTGCTAGAGTGAGTAACACAGTGGAACCTGTGGCGACTCCAGCTGTTCCAGTCCCTCCACAGGTGAGACCCATGTATTGGTGTGAGGGCTGTCCTATGCACAGATGGTTATGGGTGCAATTTGTCATCTTTGTGCCCATGAAGTTACAGTTGGGCAAAGACTCCTGAAAGGTCCTCATTGGTGCTTTTAACTCCATGAACTGTGGTGCTGGATTTCATGCATGCAGAAGTCCATGATCCCCACGATTTCTCATTGGCTTTGGTTATGATGCATGAAGTGATGAAACAAAATTATTTCCTGAGTCTTCTGTGCGTTTCTCAAAATTCTGGGTTCAGTGGCCTTGAATGTCTAGGTGAAGCCCTGAGTGAAAAGAGAGATTTTTAAACATTTGTATCTTTATTGCAATTAATCCCACTGACTTTATATTTTGCCTTCCAGCAAGATCAGGTTCTTGAGGCTGCCCTTTTCTTACCTCTATGCAGAGAGCCTGGATAAACTCTTTTTGGACTTTGGTATCATGACACACACGTGAAAGCCAAGTTCCTTTAATTCTTTAGGCAAGATATTTCTGTGCTTTAGTAGCCTCTGAAATATGGACTCTATTCTGTCTTTGAAGTATTATTTTTCTATAGAATAATATAAAGTTAATTAATAATGGTCACTTTAGTTGAGTACTTACTATGTCAGGTACTCTGCTAAGCACTTTTCATGCATTACTTCATTCAGGGCCAGGACTACAGCAAGGTGAGGGATGCACTTAACTTTGGCACAGAATTTAAGAGGCAGTCAAAACACTCAGTAATCAAGATAAATAATTTAATGTGATATTTTAAAAATTCAAAAGTAATCTGAAAAAGTCAATGGTGAACAAAATGTTAAAAACTTAAAGACAAAATAAGTATTACTGATTTTCCTTTTGCCTCAGGCTGCAGTCTGGCTTGGCATGGCTCTGTTGTGGATCCTGTCTTTATTTAAAATTTTGGTATTTTGTTCCTCATTGATTTTTTTTTGACTTGTAAAAATGTTTCTTAAAATATTTTAAACTTTGATTGCTGAGTTTTTTGATGCTCCCTTAAATTTTGTGCCCATGGCAAGTACCTCCCTTACCTCATTCTTGGCCCGGGTCCTAACTTCATTTCATGCTTGCAACAACCTGGCCTTATTTCTCAAAGTGTGATCCGTGGACCAGCACATTGGTCTCACCTGGGAGTTTATTAGAAACCCAGGTAAGCTAAGGAACTTCTCCACAGCATTACAAATTTTGTAAAGTGGTGGAGCAAGGATTTCTCTTGACCTTAGACCTCTACTCCTAAACATCAGGGTATAATTACTTCTCTGAGTGCCAGTTTTCCAGTACTTACAGTGTGGATAGCAACACCAACTCTTCCTCCATCCTCATTAATTTGTGGAGTAAATGAGATATGTTACAAACAGAAAAAGAGGACAGGAAAATAGCCAGAGAGATCTTCAGCCTGAGTGGTTGTCACAGTGCTGATTCCTAAAGGCTGCTCTAGAATTGAATGGCTGCTTCCTGTTGGGGACTGTTTTCAGCTGGCTACATCCTCCTGGGCAAATAGCCTTAGCCTTCTTTCCTAACATAGCCCTTTGTGACTTTTGAAGACAGTTATCCTATCCCCAGAAAATCTTCCCTTGCATGTTGAAACAGTGCTGTTTCCTTCAGCTGGTCCTGATATGGTATGCTTTCTAGATTCTTTGTTTAATATTTTATTCTTCTTTAGCCAAAATCTAATTTGTCACGTTTGTTAACCCAGCAATATTTATCGAGTGCATATTATTTTCCAAGCACTCTGATAGGTTTCACTTAACTTGTTTCCCAACCTGAATACAATTGTCTGGATCTTCTGGGTATTTCCCTCTAATTATATCATGTCTGTAGCTAATTTGTTGACTCTCTGAGGACAGGGGCCCAGTTTTAAATACATGCCTATGTATCACTTCTGCATTAGGTAGCAAGTCCCCTACTAACAGTAGGTATTCAGTAAATGCTTGTTGATGGATTCTGAGTGAACTTCGTTCTTTCTGGTAATGTGATTTTAGGCCTTACCTGTACTGCCCTAAATCTTCCATGCTGGGCTTTTTAACTTCTTTTCTAAAATTTCTTCGATGGAGATGGCAGTGAGGCATTCATCAGTTTGGTACACAGATGATTATAATGCAAAACCAGGATTAAGTGTCTCCCAGCCTTTTTTTCTTTTCTTTTCTTTCTGGAACGAATTATATCCTGTCCTTGTGAAGCTGAGTGCTTGTGGTCATGCTGTAACCTTAGGTTATTTTTCAGCTTGTAGAAGGAAGGAACTTTGAGGAGAAGAGAACAAACTCCACATTTTTAAGCCTTGTCTCCTGTGTCTTTGCTGTCAGATGGGCTCCTTTAAGCCAGGAGGCCGAGTGATCCTGGCCACAGAGAATGATTACTGTAAGCTCTGTGACGCCTCCTTCAGCTCTCCGGCGGTGGCTCAGGCTCACTACCAGGGGAAGAACCACGCCAAGAGGCTGCGGCTGGCCGAAGCTCAGAGCAACTCATTCTCGTAGGTATTGCCGCTTTCTCTGAGGCCAGAGTGTTCTGGGAGACCGACTGTCTTTAGAGAAAAAGGGTAGAAAGGCATCCTGGTTTAGAAGTCTCACTCTTTTAAAATTTCTTTTCTCCAGAGAGCCCTCAGACATCGGTCAGCGGCGGACCCGGAAGGAAGGGAATGAATACAAGATGATGTCTAATAGGAGAAATGTGTATGCAGTACAGAATAATTCAGGTACCCTGTGGATTTCCACATACCTTGGCTGCGTTCTGCAGATCGTCTCCTCTATTTTTATTTCCTTGAATGTTAATAGATAGCCCTGAGAATTTGGGGGTAGCTGTCATTCTGTTGCATTGGTCTAGTGGCTTTTCAAGCTGGTGTTTATTTCAGGCCTTGTTTGTTTGTTTGTTTATTTATTTCCTATTTAGTATATTATTTGTTTTGATTTTAAACCAGGTCTATGCTTTAAGGTCTCTGGTCATAGTACCTTTATGCTTCTGGTTATTTGCCAGCTGAGAAATTTAAACATTATTAAAATGGGCTATTTGGTTTAAAGTTGCACCATATTAAATCTCCATTTATTGGGAAAAATAAAAAGATTGTAGCAGTGAGTGTTTAACCAGGGTAGTGAGTCAGAATTACCTGGGGAGTTTTTATAAAATACGCATGGCTGAACCATGACTTAGAGATCTTCAGTTAGTTAATTTAGAGTGGGACTCTTACATATGTGTGTTTTGAAAATGCTTCCTCAGTGGTTCTTATATATAGCTTCAGTTCAGAATTGCTAGTTGGCAAGAGCTTTTTCCGATTAGCTTCCCTAGGGAGAGTAGGACTGCGTGGTCCCTCCCCTTCCCCCAGCCTCCCACGCATACCCATACGAGCAGAGGTCATTTGTGTGAACAGTAAAACAGACAGCAACCTCAGAAGACTAACTGGGAAGGCAGAGAAGCATAGAAAAAGGGGACATATAAAAAGCGTAATGCAACATGATTAATAAAAGACAAAACATATACCAGGTCACTGCAATAAATGTAAGCTTACTAAAGTCCCAGTTAAAAGAAAAAGACTGTAAGATTAAATAAAAAACTACTCAACTGAAATGAAGGAAACCTGTGTTAATATTAGATTAAAAAACTAGGACAGAAGGCAGTTTAGACTTATGTTCTCTGATCAGAGTACAATTAAATGAGATGTCAGTTATAAAAATCTGAATAAGCAAACAAAATTTTTATGTGTTTGGAAAATTTTAAACATATCTAAATAACTCATGGGCCACAGAAGAAATCATACTGGTAATTGAAAATTCTTAGAACCAAACAGTAATAAAAATATATCAAAATTTGTAGCATGCAGTTAAAGTAATATTTTGAGAAAAGCCTTAAATGTTTATTATTATACTAGAAAAGAAAAACAGAAAATTATTGAACTTAAGTCAGTTATGTAAAAAAAGAAAATAAAATTATCAATAATTCTACCAATATTTTTGTATATATCATTCCAGTTCTTTGTGTATATTACTTCTGTAAAATAGAGATTTGATCATATTTTATGATATTCTTATTTAACTTAATAGCATATTATAATCAAATATTATAATTAAAGAATTTTCTATAACATTGTTTTTAGTGACTGTATAGTTTTTCATTGCATTCATCACTTAATTTTTTGAGTCATATTTTTAGATCTTTCCTTTTCCCTCACCCCCTCCAAAAAAAGCTTTTATCAAATCTAATGAAATAAATATCCTTGCTGATAAATCTCTGTGCAAAAATTCTCAACATTTTCTTAGTATAATTCTTAGAAGTAGAATTTTTGGATTAAAGAATTAGCATAATCATACAACTCTTGATATGCTTGGAAATTATTTTTTAAATTATATTCACTTTTTAGAGACATTGCCATTTAGAGTTTGGTTTGGCCCTACAGTAACGTTTCTGACAATGGTTGGAGGAATCATTTTAGTTTTTAAGATTGCATCTGAATAAACTTGTAATTTCAAAAGCCCATTAACGTTACATTCTTTTAAAGCTAGGAATCTATACTTTCAGCTTAGAGTTACAAATTATAGTGATAATTGGTCAGCCTCCATTCACTTGGTGAACATTTTGAGGTGAATACATTATTTTTGTCTTTTTTTAGCAGGTCCTTACTTCAATCCCCGCTCTCGGCAGAGAATTCCACGTGATCTTGCCATGTGCGTTACTCCAAGTGGTCAGTTTTACTGCTCCATGTGTAACGTTGGGGCTGGTGAAGAAGTGGAGTTCCGGCAGCATTTGGAGAGCAAGCAACATAAAAGCAAGGTGTCTGAACAGCGGTACAGGAATGAGATGGAGAATCTGGGCTACGTATAATGATTGTCATATTCAAGTAGAGAGCTTGTCCTGCCTGTGGTTTGCCTTCTGTCAACATGCCCTGCTTTGTGATTCTTTTGATATGAGTACATTTCTCTGCTTAATGTTAATACATGTAACCTTGCAGTGGTACCATGAGGGGTCAAAACTGGAGAATGAAGAGAACGTACTTAAGTCATGATGTTTTTTCAGGTCAGTTGTGTTGAGCTGCTTAGAGCCTGTGACCTACCTACCCCATGAGAAATAACTTATCTTGACCAAGTTCTGGTCAACTGTAGCCTGACCACTTAGAGCTTTAGAGCTTTAACTATTTAAAAACTTTGTCTTTTTTTTTTCAACTTTAGTGTAATGTACTGTTAAATAAATAATTGTAATGAGTTCTTACTTCAGATCACAGTGAAAACAGGTAAGCAGAATTTTCAGTTTTCCAAGGCTTCTTTGGAATGCACCTCAACTCGATGTATTTTCCATAGAATTCACTGTATAAACTGCAATAGAGTCCTTCTCAGGATAGTTTTTATCATGTCCCCCCTTTACTGACATGCGGGTTTTCTTGGATTCAGACATTCCTAATGTGCTTGTGTACTTCCAAAGAGCGAAACTTCATTTCCAGCTTTCAGTTTCACACATTTTAATTCACCTTCTTTCATCCTCTTTTTCTCTCCCCTAGTTGAATTAGCGTATCTAATAAGTTCATTTTCATGGCCCAGCTATGTTGTAGGTTTTCCAAGCCCCACATTTGAATATCCAGTGAGTATGTTTTTTTTCCATCTGGTTTTAGGAAATGAAATATGTGTTTGATTTTTCACTTGAGTTATTTCATGATAATAACATGTACTTATATGATGACCTCAACCGTAAGTTCTGATCTCTTAATATTTGTCTTGGTAAACTTTTTAAGATAAACTGATCCTTACATTTTACTTACATTCTTTTTTGTCTTGCTAGTTTGTTGACTGTCCTGAAAAATACCACGACCTTACTGTTTCCCAGATGCAGAGGAATTTTTTTTAAGTTAATCAAATTTCAGTATCATCATTTCTAGTAGAAAAATACATGAACTTTGGCTTTATCCTTTATGATTCAGCTTCCTTGAAGATAATGAAAATATATTATAGATTACTTTCATATCTAATAATTATAACAGTATTATTATTTTTGTTCTTTTTTTTAAAAATAGCTCTAGTGTTATACTTAGATTACTAATAGAGGACTCTCTGAACTTTCATTAACCGTATTTGCCTATTTACTGTATTGACGTGGGTAAGACCGTAAGTTCATCTCTACTTTTTTGAAAGGTCACGTTCACCAGGAACTTTATATTGAGCAGTATCTTTGCACTATGGTAAATTCACTTTTTATTGCTATATTACTAATTAAAAATAAAACTCCTAATCTTCCTTGAGAATTCTATAGGCAAAGAGTTGGGGAGAAGGAAAATTATAATCATCATTCCTTTCCTTTAGAACTTCTGAACAATTTTTGAACAATCTAGACCGATATTTAAAACTCAGTTTTGCAATTAACCTCTGGTACACTAACAAGTTACTCTTCCATTGAAATGGTGGTTTTCTGAAAAGCAGAATTGTTTAGTAATTTTATTTTCTCCCAGAAACAAAAGAATGAAATAATGTTCTGTTGAGTTCTCGCTACATCTGTGACTCTTAGTATGATAACCCTTTTTCCAGTAATCTGTGAAGTATAATTGATCATTTTAGGGCAATTTAGAGCTTATCTTATTGGTCAGTAGTTTACTCATTTTGCTGCTAAGTATACTTTTTTGGTAGATTTTAATATTACAGTGCTGGCCACATGGCTCTATGATTATTTAAAAACCTCACTTTCCCTCCTCTCTTTGTATGTATATGTATGTGTGTATTTATATACATATACACACACACATATATAACTGTGTATATATAATTTTGTGTGATACCATAGAGAAAATTTCATCAAATCTTTATTTCAGATAATAGTAAAAGATTGTGGATAAGAACTTACATTTTGTGAAAGTGGCATTCATCCACTTTCAGTTTTTCCTTTGCAAATAAAATTAGAGGAAAGATTTGCCCTACTCTCCCCACTTAACAATTTCATATATATATATACACACACACACACACACACAAAGCAGTGGACTTAAGGCCTTGAAGGTTATCCTGGCCTTGCGTATTCAGGTTTCTAGTCTCTCAGTGCCCTTAATGGATGTTATGAATGCATAAACGCATTTTCTTTTAAAGAAGAAAGTTAGATTTATAGCGTTATTTCTTACTTGTTATATTTCTTTGCACTAAAAAAGAGCTATGTGTTTGTTTTATATGACACTTTAAATACCATATTGCCTACAATAGCTCAGTTTGCTCCTTAATTTCTAGGAAGTTGATAACTTCCAGGATCATTTATAGAGATTATATACACATCCCCCCCCCCCCGAAAAATCACAGATCTCTGTGATAATGGGTTGTGTTTTGGGCTTGTTACCTTGCAATAGTCTCCTGTGTTCCTTAAGTGAAACAAACGGTGACAGAGATGTCAGAAAGGAAACGCCTAAATAAATCCATCTCTGCATGGTACAGTTTCTCATACTCATGCATTCCTCAAAGACAGTGTTTTTCCCTGTCAAAGAAGGCTGTGGTTACTACTGCAGTCAGTGATATGTGATCTCCATTGATTTCATTTTGTGAAATTGAGTCCTGTTCTGTAATGTGCTTTAAAATTTGCAGCCTGTGCTCCCCAGGAATGATACTAGTATCTTTTTTATGTTGTGTACAAGGATGGACAAGAGGCCTAATCAATGGAAAACCTTTAGCCAAATAAGTCAAATAGATTCCAGTACTCATCTGCAAGAACGCATAGCATCAAAGTCTCTTTTCCCTGTGACTATCTGTGTGTAAGTTGTCATTTCAAAACTCAATGTTAGAAGATAACAATTAGAAACTCTTCTAAGATATTGAGGGCAAGAAATTGTAACGGAAAAAATTCAGTGTTCCAATTAAAAGATTGGATTGCTTATGCCTTCAAAGTGTTTTTTTTTTTAAAGTTCAGCTGCACAACTGAGTGTGCCATGTAATCCTTTAGACTTTACGTTGAACAGAAAATACTTTATTGGTCTCATCTTTGTATATCATATATTACAACTTGTAAATATGTGCATGTTGTTTAGGACATTTGTCTGCTTGTCTCTTATTGCACTGAATTCTGCAAGGTGAATAATTGTTTTATACCATTCATTTTGAAAAAGTTCCTCCTCCAACTCTTCCTCTCTATTTCCCCGTTTCATTAGTTGGTGAATCTAGAAAACCGTTTAGAGTTTTTGAAACCCTGAGACTGGATGAAGAATCATGGCAATCTGAGACCATCCTTATGTCCCTCTGACTTAAACAGCTAAAAGGAAAGCATGACATTGTCCACCTTACTTTACAAAGCTCTTCTGCAAAACTGTGTGCTTGCTTATGGCTACCTATCTGTACTTTGAACAAAGATAAATGGATATGTGTGTCTATACCTGATTAAATCTTCCTCCGCAGATAGATTCTAAGAATTAGTGGTGGGATTAATGATTGCTTCACTCCTGAATTGGCTGGGACTGTGAGCAATGACGGTTTGAGGACTGTCCAGTGACCCATATAAAATGAGTCTCGCTTATCCAGGGGAGACATGTAACTGTTCTGCATAGTATCCTCTACACACAGGCTTAGGAGTGATGGATTTGGAACCTAATGTGTTTAGTTTCCTCAGTGTCAGAACATAGGCTGGAAGTACTTTATAAAAAATTTGGTGGCACATATACTAAACAGAGGTGTTTTAGAAATAGAGAAATGTTTTGTTAGTATAGGTAAAAATTTAGTGTGGGCCTCTGAATAGTTATTTTGAAAATATTCCACCCTACCAAATTTTTTTTTTTTTTAACCAGCCAAGTCACCATTCAGGAGTTTCATACATAGTAAAGAGTGCTTAAGAATGCTTTGTTTTTGCTTTAGGGCTTTTTTTGGCAGTGAACTCCATTGTGAGCTATTACTATCAATCTAACTGAATGGACAAATAGCTGTATAAATAGCTTCTCATACGACATTTTTACTGATAACTGATTGTGTCTGCCCATTATGAATGGGAGGATCATTTATCAACTCCCTTTCTGGGTGGCTACCAAAAAAAACACTGGCTTATGGTCCCATGTGACCCTGTCTCCGTTAAGCCCAGAATATGAGTGCCTTTAGCAAGTTTTAGCATTTCACAGAGAGATGATAGAGTTATTGCCATTAATCACAATTCATAAAATAGGAGCTTGGGATAGCAAAGGTTTGTGTGAATTCTATGTTCTACATCTTTTTTGTTTCTTCATGCAATCTCAATTTGATATTGAGTAAAACTCTTAATACTTAGTAACTGTGCTAGTTCATCTCTATATTAAAAAAAGGCATCTTCACAAATCAGGTTCAAGATATTTTAAAGCAAAATAGTCCCACTTAAATTAATTTAAAATTCTAAATTGCCTGAGTACTTTGAATTTTTAAAACACACTGCTAAATTAATTTTATTGTAGAAATACTAACATTTTCCTCAACATTTTATTATGAAAAATTTAAAACATCCATTAGAGTTGAAAAATTTTACAGTATACCCACCGCTAGATTTTACCGTCAACATTTTATTGTACTTGCATTCCTGCATTTCTGTCTGAACCTATATTCACCCATCAAACAATGGAGTGTTTAAAAATACACATTTTAATGTAAATTTCAGATGTTATTTTTCCCTTAAACAGTTCAGCATAGGTGTTATTAACTAGAGTTTAACATTTGTTTGAATATTAAAATCTTTTAAAAAGCAGTGTGTGAAGTTGATAACCTGAGCCAATTAACATAGGTCTTTGTCTCTTGGGGACTCTGGCCTTCCAGTTTCTGTTTTTGTATGTGCTTCGAGTGAGGGGAGACTCCTTTTCAAACTGAAGTTTTCTAGTGTTGGTCATTTTAAATGCTTCATTGTCATACATTTTAAAGCTTCACGATAAGAATTTTTTCTTAACCCCTCCTCTTATGATGTATTTTTGCTGAACTATGCAGCTTCTTTAAAAAAAAAAAACTGTAAATGACCAGTTAGGGTTTATTAAATCAGCTTATACCTCATTTCAATCTACGGCTGCTTTTTCCTTGGTGTCCTTTCTGCTTTTACTGCTTTCACCTGTTCTACCGGGAAGTAGAGAGGCGTGAAGAGTCAACCCCACAGATGATTAGCTGTATTAAACAACTCTAGAACTGATTAAGTAGTTGAGAAAGTTGAAACCATTAATTTATCCAAAGCCTTTGAATTCCCTCAGAATTCTAACTGCCCATGCCCTCTCTCCAGCCATAATTAGCAGGATTAAAAATGATTGTACTGTACACTGAGTTGTTGAAATTGTGAGCCTTAGTAACCATCATTAGCTTTACTCTAGTCCTGTTTAGGAAAAAAAAATTGACATATACCTTTATTTTTATGCCTTTTTTTTGTGTATGTGGACAAAATGTGAAGAATTTAAGTGACTTGTTGGGAAGATTCAGTGGGTAAGTCAGAACTGAAACTTCAGTATTCCTGATTCATATTCTTGTGCTTGTTTAATAAGATTCATGGCTTTCAAAATAACTGAACACTTCCTTTGGGACCCTTAAAGTGACAATGTGTATTTTTACTAATTAGACTTTTTTTTTCGACATTTCACAATTCTTTGAACTTTGAAATTTTTGCATGAATTTTCCTCATTGAATCAATGCAGCTGCTAAAAATCTCACTTTGCTTTTGAATCCTAACTAATCATACAGGTTTTATCAGATTTCCTTTTGCATTTAAATAACTCTCATGATTCACTCATAATTTTCTATGTAAGTGCTTAAGTGACCCCCTCACTAGTGAAAAGAAATGTTCTATATCACTGATTATACATATATTCTCTACGTGATATATTTTTTTAAGGAAAAGTAACCCCATGTGTCCAGATGAACGATATTACCTAGGGCAAAGCACACACGAAGTGGTTTATTTCTACTCTGAAAATCTGGCATTTACGGGAACAAAACTCTTTTAGAGTGGCTGGTCATTGTTCTGCCTTCTTTTGGTACTTGAGCACCTTTCTGTGGTTTTGTAAATTAGTCTGTCATTTTGTAAGAATTTCATGTTGATTCTGTGTTCCTTGGTGTTCACCTTGTGGTATCCTCAGCTGATCATCATAATTTCATTTGGGTATGGTTGTGTGTCTGCTTTGAAATGCCTTACTAGAGCATGTCAGACTCTGCTCTCAAGCATTCCATGTATCTGCTAGGACAGCAAGTTGCCTCTCTTGGATGTATGCTCTAGATCCAGAAGCAAAACTGATTTTGCTTTCACTGTTAAGGTTGCATTTTAGTGCAGATACTGTTTTAAATTAGAGAATAAAATCATGGAAAATCAAGGGGGGACTTTAGAACCCTTCATCTAATGGCATGGCAAACTTTTAAAACTGCTTTTGCTATTTCACTAGAACAATGCCTCTGGTAGAGGGTAGAGCTAAAAAATGCCAGCCCAAACTGTATGAAATTGGGACTGTTTCCCACAGTTTTCTCTAAATGTCATACAGGGGTTTAACATCTGTGTGTATGTTTCCCAGTGACTACTGGGGAAATCTGTGCTCTGAGGCTTCATAAATGACAAATGTGTCATGAGATTAAAACCAATCAACTGTGAATTGTGAAATTGAAATTGCTCTTTTGGTTTTATTTTATTCAGCATATTGAATAGAGGAATCTGAAAGTTTTTCAAAATTTACACTGCTTATGTTGATGGCTCATTTTGGCTGCGTATCCTTACTTATGTACTGATTTCTGATAAAGGCTTGACGTTATTATGACAGTCATTTTGTGTTCAATTTAATAAAAAGTTTCTGAGTCTTGTCTGCAAATTGTTTGGTTATGAGTGGGAGATCAAGGGAAGCAGGTACTCAGCACCGAGGTGCTGAGGTGTTATTTTTGATGCGGATGGTTGATGGCAGTGGATTCACCATTCGTCAGTCTGCACATACGTGTTCTGCCACCTGCTTCTTGAACTCACGCAGAGTGTTGTCAGCTCTTGGGCTTGCGGTAGAATTGACCCAGCTGCCCACACTACCCCTTCCCCGCGTCGCTGAAAGTTAGCCTGGGACTAGAACAAGTTCTTAATTTTATTGGTGTGTTTTAAAGTTTATCTTCCCTTCAAATTCTGAGCAAAGCTAGGCTTAGCGCGACCATAACTGCTGCTTCTGGAAATAAAGACATATAAAAAGGCATATATGCCCACCAATCCTTTGGGTGTTTCACATGTAAAATACTCTTACAAATATATCTGCTTATATAAACAATATATTGAGGTATGGTCTTTCAAGCATTCTGGTTAGCTGTATGCAATGTGCTTTAGAATTCAAATGCTCATTTGAAAAAGAAGATTATAGGGCTGGAAGGTGCTGTTATGGTTTGTTTAATCAGGATGCAAGACACATACACTTACTGTCGTGGGAAAAATTCTTGTGTCTGCACAGAAAAATGTTTCTGAATGAAGTGAAAGGATCACATTGAATCTGTCTGTGTGTTGTAAAATACTCAAGGCATCAGCACCTTTTATTAAATCATCTCCAAGAGATTTTTAGCGTGAAAGAAACCCATGCTAATGGGCATAAAAATAAAGTCTTAAACCACAAGAGCTTTTCTTTCTTCAGGCATTTCTGAGACTTATCTGTTTGATGAAAATCTATTCAAGGTCAAGCATGGTGTGTTATCTTTTAAAGTTGCCTATATGGAAAAGACTAGCATTGAATTTTCCCAACCTATTATAAATTGATAAAGGATTGTAAAGATCAGAAATATATCTTCTTGTGATAAGTTTTAAGATTTTTATCATCTGAGTTGAGATTTAACCCACCAAGTTTTATTCCTATTTGTGAGATATTCATAAACTGTTGAAAATCAAGACCTTAGAAAAAGATGAAGACAGGTAATTATTATGAAAAGTAAATATTATTTAATGGAGATGTGATTGAGTCCTTACCTTCACCAGAAAAAAATCACCTAAAAAAAAATACACTGCATTGTGTGTGTGTGTGTGTGTGTGTGAAAGAGATATTGAGGGGGTGTATATGGAAATATGTTTAAGATGATCAAATACTTGTAATGAAGTATGTCCAAAGGAAAGAGATGGAAATTTGCCACTAGAAGAAATAGCTGCACCACGGGCAGTCTATAACTTCTGCTTGGCATTTTGGATAAATCTTGAAGTATGTAATTAGAGTTTCAAATGTTGGCTGGCAGCCACTCCTCCAGACAGGAACAAGATGTCTTTCATGTTAGCTTCAGGTTTTAATCTTTGCTAGTGCCAGAGGCTCTTCTCTATCCTTGTTTTCTAGAAATAGCTACTAGCTTATCGACTTTGACCAAAGGTATCTAGTGCCACCCTGTGGACTCTCTAAATCTTACAGTTAGTCATTTGTGTGGTTGGTATGCTCCCTTGGAAGCAGGATCTTTGGCTGAAAACCACCTAGTGGAAGAAAGGAGTTTTTATCCTTAAATAAAGCAAAGGCAGACATATCTGGGTGATACTGAGGAGTGTATTCTTTTATGGCTTTAGTTGCTAAAGTGTGCAGAGCGGGAAAAGTGGTGGATCAGCCTTCAGGATACACATGTAGGTGTGTATGTATATAAACACATATGTGTGTGAGTGTAAATTTTTTTTTTAATTTTTAAAAATGTCTATTTTGCTTTTAAAAAATCCATTATCCAAACATTTTTGGGTATGTGAACAACAAACATGAAAACTAAATTAAAATGATAGTCAATGAAAGTCCCAAACTGGAAGGAAGGACTAGAAAAAAATCTCATCAAAGAAGACTGTTGAAAATTTAAAAGTTATATACAGGAGCAAATGTTAGTACAGGTGTAAATTGTGCTGAAAATATAAAGTCTGTACTACATAATTCTAAGGTTTTCCCAAACAATTTATTTTGGAGAACATAATGTTTTCTGATTCAATAAGCTAGCAGTACATTTTAAAGTCTTTTATTAAATTTCCAAACATTTAGAAGGAGACATTTTAAAGTCTTTTATTAAGTATTTCTAATGTTTAGAAAAAGTACACACTAAGATAACTGGTCCCTTGTTCTGTCACCTGTGTGTTCTTGGGCATGTCACTTAACCTCTCTAAAATTCAGTTACTCAGAATTGGGGTATGAGCTGTGAATTCTAGTCATTTATTTTCATCTCTCCTAGGAGCATGGGTAATTTGAGAACTGATCATTTAAAATCAGTTGAGGTTTTTGAATAGATAAGTCCTGAATTCATGCTCCCTTGTTTGCTTCCCTCGAGGCAATCACAGTTACCAGTTTCTTAGGTATTTTCCCAGAGAGAGTCTATGCAATATGAATGGTGGCATTCCAAACACATTTTTTTCCAGTGACCAGTGTGCCTTGGCAATTATTCTATACCAGTACATATGGATCTCAATTCTTTTTGACTATGTGGTGTTGATTGTATGATTTCCAAAATTTCCTTTACTGGTCCTCTACTGACGGACATATAGAGTGAATTTTTTTTAGTTAAAAAACTTATAAAATTGTGGTAAGATATACATAACATAAAGTGTATCATTTTAACCATTTTTAAGTCTACAGTTCAGTGGCATTAAGTACGTTCACATTGTTGTACAACTGTCACCACTGTGCAACTCCAGAACTGTTTATATCTTCCCAAACTGAAACTCCATAACTCATTAAAAAATGCTGTCTCCCCCGAGCATGGCAACCACCATTCTACCTTCTGACTTTATGAATTTGACTACCCTATGGACCTCATGTAAGTGGAATCATACACTATTTGTCTTCTTGTGACTGTCTTATTTCATTTAGCATAAGGTCCTTAAGGTTCACCATGTTACAGCATGTGTCAGAATTTCTTTCCTTTTTAGGCTAATACTCCTTTTTGTGTGTATACTACATTTTATTTATTCACTCATGGTTTGATGAACACTTGGGTTGCTTCCAATTGTTGGCTATTGTGAAAAATGCTGCTATGAACGTGGGTGTACAAAAATTAAAAACTTTAAAAATTATAAATTATGTCATATATGCAAAGTATAGAGGCTAAGCAAACAGGCATACATATACTCATCACCAAGCTCGCCAGCACCATCATCATTTTATTCTGATATTTTTAGGAGAAAGAAAACTACAGATTCAGCTGAAGCCCACTGTGTACCCTTTCCCAATTCTAATCTCATCCCACCCCAGATAAACTCGCATCTTGAACTTGGTATTTATTATTTCCATGTACAGTATTAATATCATATGTATTCATAAATACATAGTATCGTTTAGGCTTTCAGTATTAATATAAATGGCATCATATCATGCAAATACCACTATTTTTCTTTTTTCTCAACACTTTGAGATTTATCTATCATGACACGTGTAACTATAGTTTATTCATTTAAAATGCTGTATAGTGTCCCACTGTCTGCACCACAATTAATGCATCCTTCTGGACATGTAGGGTTTTTTTTTTAATATTTCCTTATAAGTAATACTGCAATGAATTTTTAAAAATTATCTCCATAGACTCTAGAAACTAGATCCTTACTACAGCACCTTGAAACTTGTTAGAAATACAGCATCTCAGGCTCCACTCCAGACCTACTAAATTAGAACCTATCTTTATGCAAGATCCCCAGCTGATTTGTAGGCAGGTTAAAGTCTGAGCAGTTAGTTGTTCTCAAACTTAGTCCCACAGCTGAATCATCTGGGAAGTTAGATCCAACAGCAGTAAAAATAACAGCAAACTTATATCTACTTTATACCCCAGAGATTTTATTTAATTGACTTATTTGCTCTAGGGTGTGCTGGGGTGTCCAGGGACTTTTAAAAGCTTCTTGGGGGTTGGTATAGCTCAGTGACAGAGTGCATGCTTAGCATGCACGAGGTCCTGAGTTCAATCCCCAGTATCTCCATCAAAAAATAATGAAAAGCTGAGGTGATTTTAATATGTAGCCAAGATCTAGAATGACTGCTTGGACCAAAACAGCCATGGCTGCATTGTACGTGTTGCTTGGCTTTTACTGGGATGCCGCCTTAGAAAGGACAGTTTTACTCACAAGGGACTAGAGCAGGCAGGTAGATATTATTATGGGATTTCTAGTCTAGTAAATTATCAAAACACTTGAGCAAACGCTTTGCCCTGTTTTAAGCACAATTAGTGCTTGGTCCATAGAGTTTACTTAACACACATTTGTCAGGCACTAACGCTATATATCAGATAATCTTCTAAACAGCACTTTATTAATGTTACCCCCAAATTTATTGGAAAATTTCCTTTCCACTTAAGAAAACTTTGAAATTTTGAGGGAAAAACTTTATTGTGTCAGAAAGTCAGAAGAATACGTTAGTAATAAGAAAGTATGCACTGCAGGATGGTGCATTCCTAGCTTTGGGCTTAGCAGGGCGGGGCGGCACTCCCCTTTCAGCATCCAGTCTGGGGCTCTTCCTGGGGGAAGCTGCCACCCATTCTCCGACAGGGCATGGGTTTTGACTGCTCAAAGCTACCGCATCTGGAAGGAAGAGAACTCAGTCGAGAATTTGTCCCTCTAGTGGTGAAGACTTTTCTGCCCAACACTAAAATTGGGAAAATTCCTGACCTGTCAGTGGAGTCTTGGGACTACCCATTCCTCTATCCAATTACTCTGCATTTCTGTGAATAAGTCGTAGAACAGAGCATTAAATCACAACTGGATCAGCTATTGCAAAGTTTATGTGACCTGAAAGAACTTTCTCAGAGAGAGGAAATTCCTTTTTTTTTCCATTACTTAAATCACATAAACAGACATACATACATTTTCACTGTCAAATATTCCAACACTTTTGAAAAGGGAAAATACTCCTTAAATTCC